GGGGTAGAGTCCTGGGCTCAGGACCCGCGGGGCGGTTAGCGCCTGTCACAGCCCCAAACAAGTGGTCCAAAGCACGAGGTCTGCCCCTGCAATACTGTAGATGTTAACATAAGCAGCACTGAGGAAAAGGAAGTTTTGTAAAGATGGTACAACATACACATCTGCATAATGAGAGCCAGTAACAAGCAGAGGTTGAAATATGCTCAAGATTGAGTGCAGTCCAGTAGACTGTATAATGGCCCAGGAAAGTAGTGGAAAGCGGTTGTGCACCAGGAAGCCTCCCAGCGGTTAGGGAAGTCTGGGGGCCGGTGTTGCTCTGGGCTGCTCCTAAGGCACGCAGGTCTCCTTCCAGAACCGCAATCCTTTGGTGGCCGTGTATTACACCAACCGGGCCTTGTGCTACCTGAAGATGCAGCAGCACGATAAAGCCTTGGCAGACTGCAAGCATGCGCTGGAGCTAGACAGTCAGTCTGTGAAGGCCCACTTCTTCCTGGGGCAGTGCCAGATGGAGATGGAGAACTATGATGAGGCCATCGCTAACCTGCAGAGGGGTGAGTGCCTGCCAGTCAACAGGCAGCTGGGCCTGACTTAAGGCATTGATGGCCTTCATAGTCTATTGACCTTCCCTGCTAACAGGAGTGCCCTGGCTGCTTTTAACTTACCAGCAGGGGATGTGGCCCTTCTCTGTTCATAGGTGCTAGGATGGAGGCCCTGGCTAAGCTGCAGGCAGGCCTCCCATCCTGAATGGGCACAAGTAGTGCCCACCTGTACAACTACAGCCTGTGAATACAAAGTAGGAAAAGCTGGAGTTGAGCAGGGGGCAGCTTGGAGTGACCATACACGCACCAGTTGAAAGCCTGTGGGAGTTCAGTGCCTCTGTGCTTGACCACACACCAGTCGTGGTTGCGGGTGAGGCCCAAGGGGGAGTCAGTTTCTTTGGCAGCTGCTTGGAATTCAGTCCCCAAGCAGCTTCTCTCTGGCTTGCATGGTGGGGTTCGGGTTGTAGCCTGCAGCTTCAAGCTTAATGAGCCCTCCCCATTTGCTGCTTTGTGCCACAGCAGCAGCATGACTTGGCAGTGCCCCTCAGGAGTGTATTAGCCACTTAAAGCTGTAGATGTCAACTTCTGACTGCCCTGCATTGTGTAGGTGCTGGCGTGGCTGGAGCAGAAAGAGTGAAACCACCATCTAGAGGCTGGTATTCTGGTGATGAGCTGCACTGCCAAGTGGGTTTAGGAAGGCTTCTCTGCTGACCTCCACTTTGTCTCCTCAGCCCACAATCTCGCCAAGGAGCAGCGCCTGAATTTTGGGGATGACATTCCAAGTGCCCTGCGGATTGCCAAGAAGAAGCGCTGGAACAGCATTGAGGAGAAACGGATCAATCAGGAAAATGAGTTGCACTCCTACCTGACCAAACTCATCATGGCTGAGAAGGAGAGGTAATGTGGGTAGGAATCTCTTCTCCCTCAGCAGCTCGGAGGCATGGCCTGGAAGAGTGCCAGGCCTCTGCAAACAGGGGGAAGGAATTGGAGGGTCCTCTGAAGGATGAGGGTGGCCTGGCCCCATAGACTGACTTTGCCATCTGGGGTGTGAGGAAGGCCAAGGGGTTGCACATCTGCTGGTATCTGCTGTTGCCCTAAGGAGTCTGGTGCTGTTATAGTTGGTGGAGAGTCCCTTTCTGAGAAAGTCGGAGGCTTTGTGCTAGGGACCTGTGTTAATTTGGAGGTGACTGCTCCTCCTTCTCCAGCATGGCGTTCCTGGTTGCTTGCCAAAGCTTACTCTGTGCTATAATATTCTTCTGTGTCTGTCCTAGGGAGCTGGACGAATGCCGAAGAACACAGCAAGAGGAAAACATGGATGAGAACCGGGGCAGGGCTCAGCTGGCCAACATTGAAGCCAAACATGTAAGGCATCTCCCTCATTGTACATTTGGGGCTCCCAGGCAGGGTTGGACTGTTTCAGTGTGTTTTTGCTTGGGGAGAGCAGCAAACCTGGGGGGCGTTGCTTCCTTGGGGGGCCACCCTAGCATGAAAGGTGGTAGCCAGACCTTTTTCAGGTGAGCGTGGCCCTACGGGTGACCTCTGGGTGCTTGAACCCATGGGGGCACCAAGAGATGCCACAGTAAAACCTTTGTGGGGATTCTGGAGCACAAAGGGGAAGTGGCTGTCACCACGTCCTGCTTTCCAGGCTGCTGTGCTGAGCGAGGATAACTGTTGGGGGCAGGGCTATAATCACAATTGCAACAGGTCAAAGGAAACAAAGCAGGTTCCCCTCACAGTGGCTGCTGTCTCCAGTGCTCAGTGGCTGTATAATGCAGCCTGCTTCTGAAGCTCTTTTTGCACCAGGTGCCTGTCCAATACCAGCAGCTGCAGCCCGTGTCAAAAATAGGTTGAATGGTATTGCTTCCCGTGTTCATATCCTGTGCCCTGTCCATGCTGTGTGATGCATCACCCAACGTAGCTTGTCTGCTATATGCTCAGGGCACAGTGGGCTTTTTCGTGGCTTCACCTCACAGCCCTTATCTCCCACCAGTTCTTCAGGCACCTTTAGAGACTCTTTGGAAGCCCTGCCGCTGCTGCTGCTCTATCAACCTATTGGCCTCTATGATTTGACATGCTACACCATCCTCCACCTCCTCCATTATGCTGCCACTATGCAGCCTCCTGCTTGAACCTTGTGTCCAGCTCTCCTGTACAGCGGCAGGAGCACTAACCATTTAGTGGTACTGGATGCTTTGTCACTTTCATGGACAAGAGCAGCACCTGTAAGAAGGTTCTCTCTGAATGCAATTTCCCCCTGCCCAGTGCTGGCAGGAGCCAATGGAGATTGGCTGAGGGTGGGAGACCTAAACTGGTCATGGAAATCCCTGGGCACATGGAGCCCCTTTTCCAACTGCTCCTGTGAGCCACATCTGTGCAAGTGGCAATACTGCCGTGAGGCCCATGCTGTAGGGAGAGGCTGTGATCTCCATCTGGGACATGGACAGAGACCAAATTCTTCAGGCTCCAATGCTGAAGCAGCAACTAAGTCCTGCAGGCCCCTCCCATTAAAGAGGCTGTTTCTCTTCCAGGACAAATACCTGGCAGATATGGATGAGCTCTTCTCTCAGGTGGATGAGAAGAGGAAGGTGAGGCTGTGTTGAACAGGTGCTGCTGCCCTTGTCAGGATGGCATGTGGTGTGTTTGTGGGTGGGGCAGACCTGCATTTGCTAGCTTGGCTCAAGGTACCAAAGAGACCCAGTGGCTTATCCCACCCTTCCCATTTTCTTCCCCCTGACTATGCTGCCAGAGCCATCTGGAACTCACTGGCAATCTCTGTTTAAAATGGGAGCTTCTGTGCCAGGTGCCTGGAGCTATGTGATGAGAGAGAGCTGGGGGTGGACTGTCTCTGCATCGGCAGTTGTTCTCCAAGGCTCTTGTGCATCTGCCATGGATGGAATAAAAGCTGCATGGTGGTGGCTCTATCTGGGGTGGGATTTCATGGGGAGGAAACAAACCCTTGGAATGGAGAGATGTAAAAACCTATGCCTCCACCTGCCCCTCCTGGCTTACCTGATGTCTGCCATGAGTGAAGGGCCTTTCTTGTGCCCTCACCTGGCAGGAAGGCAGGGCAGCAGGGGTGGAGCCCCATGGGAGAAGAAACTATGAGCTCTGTGCAGCTCCTGTCCATGCTGAGGCCCTGTTCCTGCTTCAGTTGCTTGTTGGCTTGTGGCAGCGGTGTGGGGAAGGGGGAGAGAGTGAGGGTCTTGTAGCTCAGCAGCTCCCTAATGCTGCACCTCAATCTCTCGAGTCAGAAGCGGGACATCCCTGACTACTTGTGTGGAAAGATCAGTTTTGAACTGATGCGAGAGCCCTGTATCACGCCCAGTGGGATTACCTATGACAGGAAAGATATAGAGGAACATCTCCAGGTAATGGGGGAGCCTGAGTATTCAGCATTTGGGGGAGTGGGGAGGTTGGGTGGGTGAGAGATGCGGGGAAGACTCTTGGGAGATGGTGACTTATAGGTGTATTGGCTTCTTCAGCTGAAGTTGCTGCCAGTGCTCTCTCTTCCTGTGGCTTTATAGAGTTTTCCCCTCTGAGGTGTGAAAAACTCCTGTACATTTTGGAAACTGCCTTTGTAGGGGGAATGGTGCCACAGGCTAAACCTCCAGCCCCTTCCCTGTGAGCTTTTCTTGAGCAAGAGAGAGTCAGAGGGCAGCTTCCCCCATCTTGGAGCCTCTTTAGGCACTGTGCTGCTACTGTAGCTAGCCCCAGGCCTTGATCATGAGGGAGGAATCAGCACTGGTGCAGGTGCGGCTGTCCATTCCTTCTGGATGGATGGTAGCACTGGTGAGTAGAATAGCACTTTGAGTTGAAGATGTCCTACTGGAAAGCTTTAGTCCAGCTTGGTCCTGCTTACCTTGTCCTGCCTCTCCTTGTGCCATGCCGGGGCAGTAAAGAACAGCTGTTCTGTGTGAGTTTCTAGGCCCTGCTTTAACTTCACCTGTCCAGGGCTCCTTGGTGAGGGGCTGTTCACTCTGGGATCCAGCTCCATTTGACAACTGAGTCTGTCGCCTCAGGCTCCTATTGGGAAGAGGAGGGAGGTGGAAGGGCTTTAGTTTGAGCAAAGTTGAAAGATGCTTCATATAAGTAGTGGGACCTAACTAATTAGAGATCATTTACGCTCTCAGGGTCTGTTCTGTTTATTGCATTGCTCCTCACACCACTCTGGGGCCAGGTTCTTTCTCCCAGGTTCCCACAGCAGCAGAAGCAGTTGGGTCTTGTGATGGAAACCATTTCTGCTCAGTAGGAGGGAGAGATGATGCACTTCTGACATCATCTCTGGGTGGGGCAAGGTGTGGTTCTAAGAAGGAAGTGGTGATCCAAGGGGTGGGGAGAGAGGGTTGAATTGCCTGGCTGTGGCATCTGGTCTTCATTGTGCAGATAGGGTCAGACCCAGGGTCTGCAGCCTAGGGGACTGCTTGGTAGGGCCAACAGGCCTAGGGTGGTAGTGTGGGGGGGAAGCTTAGCTGAGTTGGCGCTCAGTCCATCCTCCTCATGGCCTCCCTTCCCTTTCAGCGTGTGGGACACTTTGATCCTGTGACTCGAAGCCCTTTGACCCAGGACCAGCTGATTCCCAACCTTGCTATGAAAGAGGTGATAGATGCGTTCATATCAGAAAATGGTTGGGTAGAAGATTATTGACAGGAGGGTGAAGTTGGCTTGACTGGATTCTCTCTGCAGCCCCAGCTGTGGCAGCACAGGGATGTCCTGCTGCAGACTGCTCTCCAAGCTTGCTGGGCTGGCACCATGCCTTACTCACTCTCTGTCCGTCTCTCTCTCTTCTTGGATGTCTGGAGATCCATTGGCAGTGCTGGACTAGGGGTGTTTTCATATCATCTCCCTGAAACAGCTGGGCTGGACCATCTGGAGCAGGAGCATGAAGGAACCTCCCAGCTTCATTCTTCCACTGGGTTCTTTGCAACATGGTAGGCTGGAGAGAGACCACCTCATGGGGGAGGGGAGTACTTGTCCTGAAGATGGCACCCCTGGAAAGCACTTTGGGAGGAGATGGGGCTGTGCGTGGCCAACCAGCATCACTGCTTCTCATCATCTGCCTCCACATCTCAGCTGTAGAGAAAGGCCCTCCTCCACATCACAGCAATCAGCTCTCCAAAGAGTTCTCTCCAGCCCTCGCCCAGCAGAAGCCCTGCTCCTGGAGATACGTGGAAGCCTCCCAGTGGTAGTGAGGGCCAAGGGTGAGCTGTCCTCTCCTCCTCCCTCTGAATGTACATACTTGGTGTTCCCGTGGCACTACATCTCCCTGCTGTCCAGCGTAGCTCTGAATGTTGCCCTGTAATAGCCACATGCTGGGGAGGGGGCAGACAATGGATGGTAAGTTATGGAGACATTGACTTGGCTGAGGCTTGTTCTGGGAAAGCACTGTTCCACAGGATGGAAGCTGGGAATTGCTGGAGGCCCAGGGCTGTTAGTTCCCCATTAAACACTTGGATTTAAGTTCATTTTTTTTTTTGTTTTAATTAAAACCCTTTAAAAAAAAACAAGTAGATGAATCCTGTCTCTAGTTGCTGGGAGTTGCGGTGTAAGATTGGCTCAGACTGCTGGCTTCCCGAGCTCGCTCTTCGGAAGCTTGCCAATGTCAATAAATATTTCAGCAATAAGCGTTTAAATAGCCCGAGTGGTTCATTGCCACAGGGATCCCTCCTTGAGAGAGGCCAGTGGAAGCTTTTCCAATCCCTAGAGCAGATGGGAGCTGAAGGGGAGAGCTGCATGATTAGGGATACCTGAGTGATGGTTAAGCTGCTTCCACACAGAGCTTGTTTGGATGGGATGCAGCACCTCCAGAGGCTCCTCGCCTCCATGCTGTAGATGAGGCTAGCTGCAGTCTTTGCTGGGATGTGCACACATACAGTGTGTCTCTTGGGTGTGAGACCTGGGCTGCCTTCCCAGTTGCATCACGTGGTCAGGGCTGTTCAGCAGGGAGTGCATTTAGGTTCTTGCCTTGCTGCTGATCAGATTCTTAAATCTGCTCCCTTGCTACTGGATGGTCTGGGCCTTTGTGCAGTTAGACTTCTCCCCAGACAGGATAATGATGGTATTTTGGCACTGGGTAAAACTGCTTGAGCACTTGGCATGTCCCTCCCATGTTTCTGCAGGTGCAAAGACTCCAGAATGCTACTGGCAGCTTTGCCTCCTGTGTAATCTTCACTCCAGGGGGTGGGCTCGTGGGAGTGCATGGAGATGCATGTGGCTACATGCTCTGGAGTTGGGTATAACAGTGAATTCCTGGCCCCTTGACATCTTTCCCAAGAGGCAACAGTGAACAGTGGCTGCAGTGTATAAGTACTGGGTCCTCTAGTTGAGCTTGTGGGTGAAGGGTGGCAGTGGCAGGGCACTGGCCATGACTATAAGGAGCTGGGGTTGGAGATGCTTCCTTTCCTTTCTCATGTCCTTGTGACAAGGTATTTAGCAGAATTTGCAGATTCATTGGAATCTGACGGCTGCATGGTAAGTGCTTCTGCTTTGGGCTTGAACGTGCAACCTCTGGGCTATCAACCCCACACCACCCTAGCTTGGAGATGCTGATACTGACTCAAACATGGGTTTTCAGTCGGTATCACTGAGCTTTTGCTAGGTGGGAAAGGCACACATGCAGCACCTAGCTGTAGTGACATCTCAGGCCAGCTGCCCAGCCAGTCTGTTCTACCTATGGATAAAGGCAGTGTGCCCAGTATCTAGCAGGAGGTGAGGAAGATCTGTTTTGTCAGGCTAGTGATCACCTTACCATGTTCTGCATGATGAAGAGTGACAGCCTTGGTAATTCTAGCTGCCTGTTGGAACTGCAGATGCTATTCTTTCACTGATGAGTTTAGTAATTCTTTTTAATCAGGTTAAGAACTCTGCCTCTACTGCCCTGTGGTGAGGAGTCCTGCAGGCTAATTACTGGCTGCAGAAGGGTGTATTTTCTCTTGGCCACAAAGGACTTGTGTTCAATTTCAGTGAGGAGCCCTTTGTTCAAGGAACCTGAAGGGGGCAAGAGCACCTGCATGGCATCCTGGATCATGAATCCTTGCTGGAGGTGATCCCAGCACCTAGAGCGCTTCACAAACAGTAATCCACACCCCTTCTCCCCTCCCCTGGGATAAATTACTCAGTGGGTGATGGTCTCTGTGGTAAAAGGCTTACTGTGATGAAACCAAGCAGATGCTCCGAGACCTTGTTTTTTTTTCAGCTTTACTTTTGATGCTGTAGTTGCCTGAGTGACTCTGGCCACTCCAGAGTGACTGATGGGGAGTGGTGGTCAGGCCCCTATACCTCCAGACTTTCAGCTTCTGAAGTGCAGGCTGAATTGTAGAAAGTTAGGGTTGGAAAGAACTTCAGAAGGTCATCTATTCCAGCCCCCTGCTCAAAGCAGGACCATCTCCAACGAGATATCTCAGATAAAGCTTTGTCTAGCCAGGTCTTGAAAACCTCCAAGGATGGAGCTTTTACCACCTCTCTGGGTAACCTGTTCCAGTTTTACTACCCTCTCAGTGAGAAAATTCTTCCTAATATCTAACCTAAGCTTCCCCTGCTGCAACTTGAAACTGTTGCTCTTTGTTCTGTCATCTGCCACCACTGAGACCAGTCTAGTTCCATCGTCTTTCGAACTTCACTTCAGGTAGGTGTAGACTGCTATTAAGTCCCCTCTGTCTCCTCTTTAGATTAAATAAGCCCTGTTCTGTCAGTTTTTCCTCATAAGTCATGTCCCCCAGCCCCTGAACCATTTTTGTTGCTCTTGACTGGACTCTTGCTGACAATTTGTCCACATCCTTTCTGTAGTGGGGGGCCCAGAACTGAACACGGTACTCCAGATGTAGCCCCACCAGCACTGAAGAGAGGAATAATCACTTCCCTTGGCCTGCTGGCACCACACCTACCAATGCAGCCCAGTATGTTAACCGTCTTGGCAGCAAGGGCACACTGCTGGCTCACATTCAGCTTATTGTCCACTGTAACCCCCAGCTCCTTTTCTGCAGAGCTGTTGCCCAGCCAGTCAGCCCCCAGCCTGTACTGGTGCATGGGATTGTTTTGTCCTAAGTGTAGGGCTTTTGCACTTGTCCTTGTCAAACATCATGAGATTTTTTTTTTTGGTCCAATCCTCCAATTTGTCTAGGTCACTCTGAATCTTAGCCCTACCCTCCAGTGTATCTGGTGTCATCTGCAAACTTGCTGAGGGTGCACCATATGCCATCTTCCAGGTCGTTGATGAAGATATTGAACAAAACCAGCCCCAGGACTGACCTCTTGGGCATTCCTGTTGTTACTGGCTGCCAACTAGACATTTAGCCATTGATTACTACTGAGGCCAATGCTCTGGCCAGCTTTCTATCCACCTTACAGTCCATTCATCCAGGCCATACTTCCTTAGGTTGTGTGTGAGAATGCTGTGGGAGACCATATCAAAAGCCTTGCTAAAATCAAGGTATACCGCATCCACTGGTCAACCTGCACTGTTTGCCCATTTCCAATCATCCAGGAGCTCTCCTGATTGCCCTGAATTTTCAAAGATGGTGGCTAATGGCTCTGTAGGCACATCAGCCAAGTTCCTCAGCACTCTTAGGTGCATCTGATCAGGCCCCATGGACTTGTTCACATCCATCTTTTCTTGGTAGTCCCTAACCTGTTCTTTCATTGCTGAAGGCTGCTTGCCTTCTCCCCAAGCTGTGCTTCCTACCATGGTAGTCTGGGAGCTGCCCTTAGCTGTGAAAGCTAAGGCGAAAAAGGTTTTGAGCACTTCAGCCTTTTCTGCATTCTGTCACCAGTTGCCTCCCCAATTCAGCAAGGGACCCACACATTCCCTGATCCTCCTCTTGCTGCTGATATTCTTGCAGAAACCCTTCTTGTTACCCTTCACATCCCTTGCTAGCTACAACTCCAATTGTGCTTTGACCTTCTTGACTTCATCCCTGCATGCCTGATCAATGCTTAAGGAGAGCCGTTCCTTTGGCTGTCCTCCATTCCTGCATAGGTCCTGCAGAACTGCATTGCTGGAGGTGGCAGCGTGTTCCTCATTGTGGAGGGGCAAGCTGCATCCTGGCATCTCTTCCTAGCTTTGCTGCCTGTCACTGCTAACCCTAATGTTGCCTTTCTCCACAGCAGGAATTGAGGGCTGTGTGTTGTGTGTGCTGGCAGGTGCTATGTAGAGCAGAACAGTCTCACTTAGAGATGGATACAGCTGGGGCAGTAAGAGGGTAAGGGGACAGTGCTTTTGTACTCAACCTGGCTTCCCATGTGGTGGGGTGAAAGAGACAGCCAATACCAAGGATTATAGTCATCTACATTTTTTAATCCAAAGAGTAACAGGGCAAAAAACCCCAATAAATAACCTAAACGATGTCAAGTATTTAGTCCTGTCCCCTATGCCTGAGTCGGTGTGTAAGGAAATCCTAGCCAGTGGCTGCACAAAAGGAGCTGGTCCCTTGGCTTTTCCAGAAGGCACCCATGGGGGCTGGGGGCACTGCACATATGAGGTCAGGCTCAGCAGAGGAACACCCCTCCCCACCCTTACCTAACTGGGATGCGCCATAAGCTAGGGGGCTGGTCCACTGCTAAAATGCCCTGGTAGAAGCTGCTCTCTGACAGCACTCCAGTCTGCTAGTCCTCAGGAGCTGCCTTGTTAAACTGGCCTTGTTGCTCAAGCACTTGGAGTAGTGTAACACAAGCACAAAGATAAATCAAGCTCAGAAGAGAAGGTGGTTGGGCACCTGCCCTCCCCTGTGCTCATTTGGTCATGGAGCTGCTGGAATATAGCCCCAGGTCAAGGGGAAGAGAGGAATGGAAGAACTGGAGCAGATGCTGAAGTAGGGTCCAGCTGTAGAGGAGCACTACTTGTGAGCACCCAGTCTTGGGAGCTTCTACCCTTCATAAGGACAAAGGTCAGGCCACTAAGCCAAAGCCTGGAACAGCTGCACTCCCCCCCAACACACACACGCAAGGGGCTAGGGCACACAGGTGCTGTGCCTATCCAGGTGCTCACACAAAGGTCTCCATTGCAGTAGCCCATGGAAGATGGCAAAGGGGTGCTACAATCTAGCAGCACCACAGTTTCTATCTGGGATGGGAAGCATGTGGACTCTTCAGCTGTAGGGGCAGGGCACAGCTCAGCACTACCCCAGGAAGGTGGAGATGAAAACGCTTGTGTCCAAATTGAGTGTGGCATGCCACCAGCGGGCAGGGAAGTACAGGACCTGCAGAAGGGAGCATGGGGTAAACAAGGGACAGGCAGGGGTGGTGGTTGTCTGCACTGCTGCAGGCTAGGTGCTGTTGTGTTCTAGAGACCTACTACATGGTGCTAGGGGCAGGAAGCTGCTTGCCCTGTGATGCCTTTGCATAAGGGAGAGCTGCTCACTCCAGCTGGAATCTGCATGGGGTTAAGTGTGGGATGTATGCACACACCCACACTTAGCTGGAGGGAATGTGTTCATGAATGGTGCATGTCTGTGTGTGTGCGCTGTGTCACCACCTCCCTCCCGCAATGTACCCAGATGCTAGCAGCTGCTACCTTGGCATGCTCCAGGCCAGTGGTTCTCAACCCTTTTTCTACCAGGACACATTTGCAACTATCAATGGCCAGTCCCAACCCAGTATCTCTTGCTCCTGATCCAGTGCCCCCTGGCCCCATCTTCCCGGTGTGGGTGTGTGGGGCATGGGGAGCCCCAAGCAGCCCTTCACAGGGCACCATGCAATTACCACACTTCCATCCTCCAGGAGCTGAAAAGTTATAAAACTTGAGCACCCCCAATGCTGTTGGATTAGCTTCAGAGACTCTGGGTTAAGAAAGGACTACATTCCTGTTATAGATGGGGAAACTAAGGTAGAAAAGCCAGTTGCACTATGGGGAACAGTTAGTTCTGGCCCCTAGGGTCATCTAAGGCTCCTGCCATTTCAGATTGCAGGGGATGAGGGGGGTGCGGAACAGAGAGAGGTGACATGACTGCCTGATTTCACAGTGGGAGAGCAGGGCACTGAACCCACCTCTCTTGTCCTAAGCACTGCACACCCCGTCACCACTGTCTAAAGCTTTAGTTAGCCTCACTTATTCCCAGTTGTGCTCTCAGAGCCTTGCCTGGGTCTGCTACTAAGCCTTTTTCTGTGCCTGCCTCCCCATACTGCTGCTCCCCTCTGTTCGAGGTCACCAGGCTGGGAGGAGCTGGGCTACAGCATGGGCCTCACCCCTCCCCTTCCCTTCAATGTGGTGATGGGGGGGGGGGGGGGGGG